CCTCCGCAGCCCCTCGCCCCGGAGGGACACAGCCCATCCCGGGGGGCGCCTCCTGGCCCCGGCGGTGCCCGGGGTGCGGCGGCCGCGCCCTGACCCGCCGCTCTCCCCGCGCCGGGCGCTGACCCGCTCCTGACCTACAACACGGACCGTGACATCTGCGTGAACCCGGCCGGCGACCGCGCCAAGTTCACTGTCTATCAAAATAACGAGATACGGTGGCCTGAGCACCGATAATTGCCACAGGAAGGCTTTATTATCTCCCCAGCTGTGTATTCCCCAGCCATCGGCTCCAAAAGAATCAAATGGTGAAGAGTACAGGCTCAGCCGCCGCGCCCGGGGCGGCCGCCCCCGCTCCCCGCCCGCCGTCGGGGCCGTACCTTTTTGCGGTGCTTGTGCTGCCCGTCGTGGAGGTTGGAGAGGCAGCCCGAGCCCAGGATGGTGCGCACCGAGGCGGGCCACTGCACCGAGACCAGCCGGTGCTCGCCCAGCAGGATGTGCCGCACGTTCTCGGCGCCCATCACCCGCACCGTGGGCCGCCCGAAGAGGTGAGTCTTGTAGATGAAGCCGTATTTTCTGCGCTTCATCTGCAGGAACTTCCGCCTCTGGACAGCAGAAGGGGCGGAGGGGAATAATAAAATAAATTTTAAAAAGGAGAAGAGGAAGGGGCAGGGAGAGCGGCTCTGTCCCACCTGGGCACGGGAGCCCGGCGAAGCCGCCGCTCGTCCCCCTCCCCTGCAGGGAGAGGAGGAGCCGGGGCGCTTCTCCGCGGCATCGCCCGCCTTTGCCCTTACCTGCAGCACCATCTGCAGCGTCTCCCCGAAGAAGGGGAGCCCCATGGTGCCGGGGGGCAGCGGCAGCGGGCAGCTGGGGTCGCGGCTGCTCACGCAGTACAGGTCCCAGAGCTTGACGGCGGCCAGGAAAAGCAGCAGGGGCAGCAGGAAGGTGCACAGGGCGCTGGCGACCAGGGCGGAGAAGCCCATGGCTGGGGAGCGCCTCCCGCCCGGCCCCCGGCAGCTCCGAGTGCGCGGCCCGGGCTCGCCGCCGGCCGCCTTTTATACCCTTCCCAGGTTGCTGCCCACCCTACCTTGGTCCGATAAATTAGTTCACCCAAAGTTCATCTTTAATTGCGGATTGCGGCCTGGCTCCTCCCCCCGAAATCTTTAACTGTTTGCTTTGCGCGGCGCATCCCGCCCGCCCGGGAGGGAGCGGTGCCGCCGGGCGCGCAGGCGGCGGCTCGGGGGTCGCTCCCGCCGCACCACGCTCGGGTCCGCGGGACGCCGCCGACAGCCGGGGGCCGGCCGCCTCCTCGGATTTATCGCCGGGGCTCGTTAGAGACCAGCGGGCTGCGACGAGACGGAGAAGTGCCCCCTCCAGCAGCCGGGAGCCCGGAGACACCGACCCCCGCCCGGTGCCGACGCGTTCCGCAAGCTGCGGAGCCCCCGGTCCCCGGCCGGGAACGGCGAGCGAGCGGAGCCAGGAGGAGCCGGGCCGGTGCCGG